ATACTTTTAATGGTGCATCTGAAGAAGTTGGTGATATGTCAAATTTCCTGAGCCACCTGAGGAAGAGGTGTTGTTGTGCCTTGTTGACCGTCGCATGACAGTGGGAAGTCCAGGACAGGCTGTCGTTACTCCGAGGAACTTGATGCTCTTCAATCTCTCAACCTCAGTTCCATTTTTTTAAATGGCGACGTGTTCTCCTCCTTTCTTTCTGAAGTCGATGATCAATTCTTTAGTTTTGTCAATGTTAAGAGACAGATCATTTTCATTGCACCACGTCACCAAGCCCTACATCTCCTTTCTGTATTTTGACTCGTCATTGTTAGAAATCAGTCCCATTACGGTGGTGTCATCAGCAAACTTGGCAACACAGTCGTAGGTGTATAGGGAGTACAATAGGGGGCTGAAGACGCATCCTTGGGGGGCTCCAGTGTTGAGTGTTATTGTGGAGGAGGTGCAGTTACCTATCCTCACTGATTGCGGCCTATGGGTCAGAAAGCTGAGGATCCAGTTGCAGAGAGCGGAGCCGAGACCAAGGTCACACAGTTTTGAGAACAGTCTGGAGGGGATAATGGTGTTGAAGGCAGAGCTGTAGTCAACAAGCAGGAGTCTGACATAGGTGTCTTTGTTGTCCAGATGTTTCAGGGATGAGTGCAGGTCTAGGGATATGGCATCCTCTGTGGATCTGTTATGTCAGTGGGCAAATCGTAGGGGACCAAGGCAGGCTGGGGGACTGGAGTTGATGCAGGTCATGACCAGCTTCTCGAAGCACTTCATGATTATTGAAGTCAGAGCTATTGGGTGGTAGTCATTAAGGTACACTGCATTTGTTTTCTTGGGTATGGGGATGGTAGTGGTCTTCTTGAAGCAGGTAGGGACTTCAGCTTGTAGGAGGGAGAGGTTGAAGACGTCAGTAAATATCTCCACCAGTTGGTCTACACAGGATCTGAGTACTTGGCTGGGGACAGCGTTCGGGCTCATCGCTTTCCTTGGGTCAACTCCCAGGAAGACCGATCTGACTTCTGAAGCAGTGACAGAGGGATAAGGTGTGACCGGGGCTATCGGAGCAGGCATTGCCACACCGGTGGTATTCTGCTCAAACCGAGTGTAGACAGCATTGATTGTGTCAGGGAGAGATGTGTCTTTGTCTGCTATCTTACACTATTTCACTTTGTATCCTATAATGTCACTTAGGCCTTGCCATAGATGATGGGAGTTTGTTTGGTAGGTCTGGACTCTAACTTAGTCCAGTCCTGCCTCTTGGCCTCCCTGATGGCATTGTGGAGTTCATATCTGGATTTTCTGTACTGGTCCAGGTCACCCAACTTGAATGCTACATATCTGGTCCTCAGTAGGGAGTGGATTTCCTGGTTCATCCAAGGTTTACGGTTGGGGAACACTCCAATTGATTTAGCGATAGTAGGAACTGCAGATGCCGGAGAATCTGAGATAATAAGATGCAGAGCTGGATGAACACAGCAGGCCAAACAGCATCTGAGAAAGGTCTGAAGAAGGGTCTAGGCCCGAAACGTCAGCTTTCCTGCTCCTCTGATTTTACTCCGATTGATTTTGTTGGTACACCTTTCTGCATTTTAAGACATCCAGCATCTCCTCTTCTGTATTATGGAAACTTTTCAAGATATCACTGTTTATTTTCCCCAAGTTCTCTAGCTTCCATATCCTTCTCCACAGTAAATACTCATGCAAAATAGTCATTTAGTATCTCAATCTTCTCCTCTGATCACACATGTGGACCACCTTCTTGATCTTTAAGGGGCACTATTCTGTCCCAAGGTACTTTTTTGTTCTTAATGTATTTGTAGGATATCTTTGGATTCTCCTTAATCCTATTTGCCAAAGCTATCTCATGTCCCCGCTTTTTACTGTCCTGATTTCTCTCCAGTATACTCCTGCCGTTGTACTCCTCAAGGGAGCAAAAACAGAAAAGCTGGAAAAGCTCAGCAGGTCTGGCAGCAGCTGTGAAGAAAAAATCATAGTTAATGTTTCATGTTTGGTGACCCTTCCTCAGAACCCAGTTGTATGAGACAGGAGCAAGCTGAAATAATGGGTCTGCCTGGGCAGTCCTGTTAATGGATTTTTGAAAGGAGGTAGAAACGAGCTGTGTGGGACTGGGGGACTATCAGCTTGGAGGTAGTTGGTGGGGTATGTGGGTTAGGGAGGGGGGTGGGGGGCAAGTGGGAGTGAAATCACAGATGACATGAGGTCAGTTACCATAGTTGATACAGTGGCCTGATATTCCATGGTGGGGTCATGATCCAGGGGAAGATAGGACACTCAGCCTCTGCAATGTAGAGGTCAATACTTCAGACTACAACAGCACCACCCTTATTGGCAGGCTTAATAACAAAGTCAGAGTTGGATCTAAGTGCACAGAGTGCAGTCATTTTGGAGGGAGATAGGTTGGATTGGGTGAGGGATGCAGAGAAATTGAGGCAACCAATGTCACATCAACAGTTCTCAATGAACAGATCAAGTGTAGGTAAAAGGCTGGAGGGCAGGGTCCAGGTGGAGGAAGAGTGTTGGAACTGGGCGAAGGGGTCTGCGGGACGGGGAGAGGACTCTTGTCCAAAGAAATGGGCACAGAGGCGAAGACGGCTTTGACGTCATGCCGTGCCTGAAATTCATTAAGGTGGGAACACAGAGGGATAAAGCTGAGACCTTTGTGGAGTATAGAATATTCAGCATTGGAGAGCACAAGGTTAGGAGGGATGGTGAATACCTGAGAGGAGGTTGGATTTGGGGAGGGGATGGAGTCAGAGAGAAGGGGAGGGGAAGGTTCCAGAGGGTCATGGGTTGTTGCATTTTGTGACCCTTGATGCCTGAGAGAAAAAGAAAATGTTTCTGGCTAGCAAGGCAAATAAGCCATAGGATGGTGGAACTATGGAGCGATATAGCCCTGAGCCAGTGTGATGCGATACTGTTGGAGAGAGATCAAGTGTGTGCATGTGACACCAGATGGCACAGAGTGTGGATCTCAGGATGTGGCGAGAGCAGCTGTCCATGGAACGTTGAACATCATGGAGATACCTATGATCCTGGGTGGATTCAAACCACAAGGGATTCACTCGATTCCAGCAGTCAATACCTGCCATATGCCTCCTTTTTCCTGATCAGGGTCTCCATTTCTCTAGTCATTCAGCATTCCCTACACCTATCAGCCTTGCCCTTCATACTAACAGGAACTATTGCCTCTGGATGCTGCTTGGCCTGCTGTGTTCATCCAGCTCTACACCGTGTTATCTCAGATTCTCCAGCATCGGCAGGTCCTACTATTTCTATTACCTCTGGACACTAGTTTTCTCATTTTTGAAGGCCTCCCACTTTCCAACCATCCCTTTACCTGCAAATAGTCTCTCCCAATCAACTTTTGAAAGTTCTTGCCTAAGGCTGTCAAAATTACTCCAATATAAAACTTTAACTTTTAGATCAGGTCTATCCTTTTCTATAAATATTTTAAAACTAATAGAAAATCAGAAATCACACAATACCAGATTACGATTCAAAAGTTCATTTGAAATCACAAGCTTTTGGAGCACTACTTCTTCGTCAGGTGACGTGAAAGAGCAGTGGTCCAAAAGCTTGTGATTTTATGTAACCCTGTTGGACTATAACCTGGTGTCATGTGACTTCTGACTTTTTCCACCCCAGTCCAACACTGGTACCTCTACATCATTAAAACTAGTAGAATTATGATCACTGGCCCAACAGTGTACCTCCTCAATCACTTGGCCAGCCCTATTTCCTAAGATGTCAAGTTTTGCTCCTTCTCTAGTAGATTCATCCACATACTGAGTGAGAAAATCTTCCTGTACACACTTAAAAATTCCTCTCCATCCAAGCCCTTAATACTTTGGCAGGCCCAGTCTATGTTTGGAAAGTTAAAACCCCCCCTATCATTACAACCCTATCATTCTTACAGATATTTTGAGTTCTCCTTACAAATTTGCTTCTCAGTTTCTCACTGAGTATTGGAGGGCCTATGTACAATCCCAATAAGGTGACCATCCTTTACTTATTTCCCAAATAACTGCCCTGGACGTACTCCCAGGAATATC